TCCTGCCCCGGACTTTTCACCCCCTGTGGCAGCTCCTGTTGAGGCTGGTGCCGAGGATTTGCAGGGTCCGGCTGCGGCTCCAGCTGCCGAGGTTCAGGTTCCCGATGCAGAGGAGAAGGAGAGTGAGGACTCAACTTCGTTGGCACTCTTGGCCACCGCTGCCCGGCAATTGGAGTCACTTTGAATCCTAGCTGCAGGTTCCTAGACGCTCTCGAACATCTTAGCTAACTGTTGAGGGGTCCAGCGAGGTTTCGTTTTCAGTGGTCGCTCCCCAGTCGCATTCATGTTTTCTTATTCTTAATCCACTTTCACAGCGTAATCATGTTCATGTCGTTCTTCAAATGCATATACAATTTGTTGTTGCAGTAACGTTTTTCGTCTGTTACCACAGGCTGCATCGCCCTGTGGACAGTTCACACGTGATCTAGTCACGCTAGTCTTCGTCCGCCACTTGCGCCATCTGCAGCCGATTCTCGCTCTTCTTGGCTCGCAAATAGTCGTACAGCAGACCTCCACATGACAAGTTGGATGCTGGTTCCCAAGTTGGGTCTTTGTAGCCCACCCACTTGACTTTGAGCTCGCGTATAGCACGTTCCGTGCTCGTCGACAGTGGTGTTCTGTCGTCGAGGATGGCCTCAACTTCATATTCACCGGCAACTTGATCTGGTTCCCAGCTGGGACCAGGCAATATCTCCTCATCAAAATCGAGTCTTGCTTCATAAGTCGCGTCTAGTACCAACCGAGTGTTCGGTCGACTGTTGAATTCGTTGACAGCCTTGAGTCTCGACACATGCACTACTGGGTAGAAGCGATACCCACTTCGGTCCGGCAGTTCTAGCTCGTACGCAAACTCTTCCACCTTGCGCTTGATCCGAAAAGGTCCATGCCACCGATGAGCTAATTTCTTCGCCAAGCCCGGTTTGATGCGTTCCATGTACAGCCACGCCCGGCTCCCAATCTCGAAACGAGATCTCGGTGGGGCTCTTGCAGAATCATCTGTCTCTTCCGAAGCTTCTGGAGGGTCCACCGAGTGTTCATTTCCACTTGGTTGAGGTACAGCGGCTTTTTCCAGTCGACTCAGGGCATCATTATGCTTTTTAGCCCTTCGCTCCTTTTCTACAGCCTGATAGTCTTTGGCCATAGTGAGAACGATCTCATGTTGTCGATTGATCTCACGCCGCCACGCCATTTCGTCAGACGGCTTGCCGAGTCCTCGTTTGGGTGATGACGACATCTCCCGCAACGTTGACTGCGCATCCCAACCGTGAACGAGGTAGAACGGTGTTTCTTTTTGTAATAGGGCATTAACGGTGATTACCGAGGAGTCAAGCAGTAGAGAGCACGTGGGAGGTGTTGGGTACGTCAGTGAAGTGAGCGGTTACATGGCGTTAGCTGGTGTGGCAAGCGGAGACCACACAAATGCGATCTTGTATCCAGAAGCGACGCGTGGGAGTTGCGAGCCAATCAGGAGTGACCAAAGATCGCAATAGGAACCCGACGTGCAGAGGAAAAGCGACGTGGAGACGGAGAGCGGTGGGACTTCGAGATTTGCGTCGGAGAGCAGTACCAGATTGAATCTTACTTCGAGATTTGCGCAGTCGAGCACAAAGGCGAAGTAACTGCAAGTACGGAGAAGTGCGAGGTAGTGAGTGGGGTGCACGAAGCGGTCAGAGGACCAACACGAGAAGAGAGAAGGAGAAGAGAGAGAAGAGGTGCGACTGGACGGACGATCAGTGGTCAGTGCATTGGTGGACGCGTGGGGCAACGACAGCGACGGGCGACGAGACCAGGAGGAGAGGACCCTCCGGGTTACTGTGTGGCTGCGTGCCGTAGGGTAGGCGCCAGAGGCGTGATCCAAGTGGCTTTAGTAAGCGAGGCTTAGTGGGACCCGAATCGTCGGTGCTTTGTGTGGACAGAGCTGTGCTGGTGGCGGATTAGAAGGACAGGAGCACGGAGAGTGGACGCTCGACAAGTTACGGACGCGTGGCGAGTCGGAAGCGTAAGCGTAAGACTGAGTAGCGGTGTATTCCGGGAAAGAAAGCCCAGAGAAGAACCGTGGCAACATGTCGAGAGTTGAGAGGGTGAGTCAGGTGAGTGACAGCACGCCATCGAGAGCGAGCTCGCGGCTGCTAGTCACAACAGGCCATAGTCACAGGAGTTGAGGAGAGAAGTAAATAAAATAGGGACGAGAGTTCCGGCACCTTTGCGAGGGGCCTACAGAGTGTGTGAGTTTCATTGAGACGGGCTACCCTACAAACCGAGCTACTGGCAGTCCACCGCAGGAAGCACAGACAATATACGATCCGCCAGCAACGGGGCGTAAGCGGGGTTGTCACATGGTGGTCATACAGGGGCATTCGTCAGTCAAACGAAGAAGTGTCACGACGAAACGAGTACCGGAAAGTGGGAGAACGAGTGATACTGCGGCAGACGAGATGTCTTCAACGTCTCCAGCAAGAACAGTAATGAGAAGACGAAGGTCGAAGGATGTCGAGCGACGAGTCGACGACTTGGTTAGTTCTGCTACACAAGCGAACCCCAAGAAGCAACGAAAGAATGGACGCGAGGAGCAGCGTCGAGAAGGACCAGAGGCGACGCCAACCGAGCAGACGTCTGTAGTTGAAGAGGCCTCGGAATGAGAAGAATCGAAGCAAAGCGACAGCTCCAGTAACAAGACGCTCGAGTTAGTGGATGTTGCACGAGTATTGCACGGACTGACAGCGATGGTGGCGGGGTTGCAGCCTAGCATGGCTGACAGTCAAGATGAAGTCAGGGACATTCGCAGTGGCGAGAGCCAAACCGATGACGCAGGTGGCGGTGCATCCCAGAGCGTAGCGGTGATGACAGGGGGCAAGGCAAACGATGTCGAGTCAGTGGCGACAGTGGCTGCGGCACTACAGCAACTGACAGGTGCCATGACGAATCTGCAGATGCCTCAAAGTGGAAGTCAGCAGGCCGAGCGCGGAGAGCAACGTTCAGTCGATCGGGTGACAGTGCGACAGGAAATCCAGCGATTGGCGGAAAGGGTGAAGACACTACAAATGCAGTCGAGTCATGACAAGTTACATGAACCAGAGGGAGCCGAGGTACATGGAGGGAGACGCTAGCAACCTGTCGATGCTTCGACAACACCATCTCGTCACCACAACCGAAGTCGAGAGCGAAGAGAAGAGCAACGAGAGCGAGGCCATGTCAATCACGGGGAGCATGGAGAACGCAGAGATGATCGACGCGGACAGCGAGAGACGGTGCGGAGAAGACGGCGGGTAGATCCATCTCCACCGGACGACATCAGCAGCTCTGACGGGTCACGAGATGAAGACCGACATCGAGATAATAACCGTAGAAGCACTGGACAAAGCAGCTCGGGGGATTCTTCGAGTTTGCCGAGTAGTAGCAGCAGCGAAAGCGAGGGTGAATCAGAACGACGACGGCGCCGTAGGCATCGGGAGGAACATGATCAACGAGGAAGAGGAAGACGACGCGGTCGACGAGGCGAAGAGGGGCATCGACGAGGAAGAAGCCCGAGGCGAGGGAAGAACGTGAAAGACTTGGAGCTGCCGAGTTTTACACCTTCACCCAAAGGGTCGGTATCAACGTGGATAGATCGAGTGGACTTAGCATTAAAAGGGACTGCCGAGTCAGGACGAGGGCGTTGGTCTGACAAGTCGCTGTACTTCATATTGGGTAATAAGTTGATGGAGAATGCAGCTAAGTGGTGGGTCGACATGGATAGGAGACTCTCCGAGCGGAAGAGAACATGGACGAACCTAAAACAAATGTTTCTACGTCGATACGGAGAAAAGTTGGACAAGTCAGCTGCTGAATGGAGGGTCAGCATGCGTAGGATGATGCCGGGCGAAACACATGCGGATTTTGCGGCAGGGCTGCGAGATATGGTAGAACGAAACAAGGTCAGTGAGCGAGTGCTGCTGGCACAGTTTTACAGATGTCTCGATAAGACCACGAAGAAGCTAGTGAGGCAGGACCCGCAGCTTCGGACATTAGAAGAAGCTGTGGATAAGACCATGGAGATCGATGATTCGATGGGGCAATCGTGGGCGACGGCACCGAGTCGGTACGTCATCCCTATGAACGGAGCGACAGGAGCTACAAACGTTATCCCTGGTATCTGCGGTACGGGATTATTCCTAGACATTACTGGTGGTACGGATGATGGGGTCAGCATGCGACCAGAAATAGAGCACGTAGCGCTCTTTACGAGCCCGCAGGGCGTGTACAATACGTTCTCAAACACCTGGGACCCCCCGCCTGGACATCTATGGAACGGAAGGTACTGGTATGAGCCAAGGAAGAACGTAAAGAAGACTACAGCGGCTGTGGCGAGCAGTCATAAAGAAGCAAATAAACCTGCTGGGAATGCAAAACGGAGGAGAGATGCCGAGGACTCGAGCGACGATGAGTTTGCGACAAGACCAAAATACAGGAAGACGAAGGCAGCGGTCAAACAAACAGGGAAGCCCAGACAGCAACCGGATAGCGGAGAGGCCAAAGGAGTGCAGCAAAACAGCAGTCAACCACGTGGCGATGGTCCTGGCGTATGCTATCGGTGTAATCAACCTGGTCACTTTGCGAATGGTTGTCCAACCTTGAAGTGTTATGCATGTGGGAAATTGGGGCATATGGCAAGTGCGTGCACTGATCCGGAAGCCAAAAAGGGTAACGATGCATACTTGAAGACACGCATACCCAAAGAGCAGTCAGCGGAAAACTAGAGACGGACATGGTAGGAGGAATACGACGCCCGACAACAGAAGGAAATCCCCGACAGATGACGAGAGACGGCAGGATACTTCGTACAGCAAATGAGGTAGCGGTACGGACGCCTAAGAATGCTAGGACGCCAACATACCAAAGTGGGTCAGTAAACATTCGAGAGTCAGCGCGTACAGGGGATCGAGGAAGTCCGAGTGGCAGTGTGGGCGCAGTGGCACAAACGACAGCCACCGCGAAGAGAACCAGCTAAGAGAGTGGATGCAATGTTGGAACAACGGCGAAGCGATGCTGCGGAGCGAGATGGTGCAAGGGTCGCTATCTACGTGTCGACGGTGAGACCAGCGATGGCCTCGGTACGATACAAATACGCTGCACCTGCGGATCAACAACAGAACGAGGGCTGTGGACTCGACGGCGAACGTCAAACTGGGGAAGGCGCGTACTTATCAGCACCACAGTCGGAAACCAACAATGGCAAGGTGGATATTATCGGAGAGCTGTTAGTGAGCACGGTCGTGAGAAGGGAAACGATGGCTAAGGCGGAAGACACGACGAGAGCTGCGAGGGACAACGGCGCGAGTACCGCGGAGAAGGTAGACGCACCGCTAAGCGATGGTATTGCACAAATACGTCCTACACGTCGAAGAGAACGGAAACAAGCTAAACGCAAGAAAATGAAGAATGCGCGAGCACGACAGCGTAGTGCCGAGCAGCAAGATGCAGAAGAAATACAGCGTGTTACCGTCGAGCAGTTGACCAAGCGACAACGAGTTGCAGAAGTCGCTTTGAACGAAGTCGTGGAGCAGAAGCATCGGCGAAATGAGAGAAAGGCAGCGAGCGAACTGAGAACTGCTAGAGTGAGTCTAGTACAACGGCAAAAACGTGCGGGGCATGACGAGGAGCTGGCTAGTACAGACACTGAGGTGGAGTACGTGGAAGCAAACGACGGATTACCGACAGCTACGATGACAGTGGCAGGAGTTCGAAAGTGTATCAAGTTAGACAGTTGCGCAAGGTTCACCATCGCAGGGACACAATGGATGCAGTATGGCGACAAATTGGTGGACAAAAAAGCACCCGTTTACTATGTTGACGGCATTGGTGGCTTTCTCTTGGATGTCGTCAGAGTCTGGCGATTTAAAATGAGCAGCGCCTTTGGCGAGAAGGTCACAGTAGAAGCGTGTATTGTGTCGAGTTGTATGAAGGAACCTCCTTGGTGGCGACTCGACAGTGGTGCCCAAGTAAGCTCATCGTAGCCGACCCACTTAACCTTAAACTTTCGCCGGGATCGGGACGTACTCGTGGATAATGGTAAGTCGTCGTCAATGATTGCTTCGACTTCATGCTGGTTCATACTTGCGTCTGGCTCCCAGCTATCTTCAGGTAATAATTCCTCGTCAAAGTCAAATAGCTGAGTCTCTTCGAGGTCAGCGATTAGCCTCGTCTTGGGTCTTTAGCCAAGTTCGGTGACTGCCTTCAGACGTGATACATGGACCACTGGGTAGAGCCTATATCCGCTCTTGTCGGGTAACTCCAATTTATAGGCAAATTCTTCCACCATCTTCTTCACCCTTAATGGTCCATGCCATCGATGCGCTAACTTCTTTGTCAGGCCCGACTTGACTCGCTCCATAAACAACCAGACTTGGTCTCCTTCTTTGAAAAAGATTTGGTGGATTCATCGCCTGGTTCTGCAACTCTGTCTTCGTCATCTGCTGCGTTGGGAATGGATCTTTTCACCTTCTTGCTCAGTGCTTCGTTGTGTTCTCGAGCTCGTCGTGCCTTCTCTCGCACTTGGAACTCAGCTGCTAGCCGTAGGGCGACTTCTCGTTGTCTGTTCGCTTCTCGGCGCCACTCGACCACATCCGCCGAGTGGCGAGCGTCTTTGTCCATGTCGTATTGAGCTCGTCATAGCTTGGAGTGTAGACTTGGCGTCCCAGCCATGTACTAGATAGAAAGGAGTCTCTCGCCGAGTCAAGTCTCTTGAATTGTTGATAGCGTGTACCATCTTCTCGGCGATGTCATCCCAGTCGGACTGAAGCGGGTCTTCCTCGTAGACCCGTATAGTCTGAACCATTGTCCTGACTGACCTCTCTTGTTGATCATTGGCTTGTGGTCAGTAACTCAGCGTAGCCCTTGATCTCGACTGCATCATCTCGGAGAACTGTTAAAATACTTCACTCATGAACCTTGGATCTCGGTCATGCCGTATCAGAGACGGAGCTCCAAACCGCTGAAGACGCATTCTTCAAACACCTTGGCCACTTCGAGCACCCCGGTGTCATTCATAGCCTTAGCGATAACGAACCCCGTGAAGTGGTCCTGGAACAACAGCAGTGCAGTATTGCCCCGCTGAGTTCGAGGTAGGGAAATCACGAAATCCATTGACACGACCTGGAATGGACGGTCTGACACCACATTTCCCGGCGAGTACCCTCTCAACTGTGGCTTGCGCTTACTGATACTGCAGTCCTCGCAGGCTCTACCATGTTTCACCACGTCGGCATAAAGGCCAATACAGTAGTAGTCGGCTTCGACTCTGTGATAAGTTCTGACGATGCCTTGCTGACCCTCTTCGATCGAGTTGTGACAGCTATGTAGGATCTCGTCGATCATGGTTGACGAAATCACCAATCTCAACGAGAGGTTCGGCTCGCCGAGTTCGCCCTGTCGGCGCGTCTCATCTCGGCGGTATAACAGACCGTCTTCGCTGAGTACAAATACTTCTGCGACTTTGCCGGCATTCTGAGCTCGACGGTGTGTAAGGACCTCAAATTCACCTCTCAGATACGCCTTCAGATCGGCCCACCTGAGTTCTTCGTCTTGTGCCTTCGCGATTCGTCGTCTTCTCTCAGCCTGTACTGTCACTGGATTCATGTCGTTGGCACTCTGATCCATCCGGGCTGACTCCCTCTGCGACCTTACTTCAGCATTCGGGGTCGCGCGGTTAGTCCGCCGAGTCGACGCCCTGCTGACTTGTTCGAATTCATCTCCCCTGCTTTCAAACGCGAATTTTTCAGGTTCTGGTGATATAGCTTCATGATCTTGACTTCTTCCTCAAGCTCTAGCCGAGTCTTCATCAAGCTCACCCTCAAAGCGAACTCAGCGCACTTGGCTACGAGTGACTGCCGTGACGATCGGGGTTTCCGCTGGGTTGTCTATGGCATACAGTTCTTCGGCTACTCGGTTAATCGTTCTCAGTTCTGCTTTCCTATCCGTCCCGAGAATTACTCGTCCGGCTTTTGCTTCGAGTGCCTAAGTAGCGAGAGAATCAGCCGCTGCGTTATAGTGTCGCGCTATGTGTCGATACCGGACCGAGTTGAGTCGCTTAGTAAGATCCTTGTGTCGTGCTCAACCCATTTGCAACGTCTCTTTCTTGCATGCTATCACCCCCATGGATTGCTGGATTGCAAGCCGGGCGTCACCCACGATAATTAAGTCAGTTTTCCCTCGGTCAATCGCCGCCAAGACCCCATTGTTCATTCCGGTATACTCGGCGATGTTGACCGTGGTGGACGACAGGTACGCACTCGTAGCGATTTCAATGTCCCAATTCGGAAGGCGCCACAGGATCCACGGACAGCTCCCATACCCGCCATACTTAGCTGTCTTTGCTAAACCATCAAATGAAAGTACACATCCAGCGAAGTCGGCTGGTATTCGGGCGTACAGCAGTTTCCGGGTCCATTCTAACTGTCGCCGAGTTCTTGGAGGGAGACGCAAGGTGCTTCAGGGAATCGTCGAGTCCGATAAACGGAGCTATCGACGATTGGAGCAGCTGGGCGAAATCCACATCTCGTTCACGTACTCGCTTTACCTTCAAATCGTAGGGTGACAGCATCACTGCGAAACTGACTGCGCGGCCGTATAACGACTTCGACTTAAACACCCATTCCAGCGTTGAGAAGCAGGATAATACGTGCAGCGTCTTCCCTGCCAAGAGAGTGTAGCACACTTTGAGTAATTGTAACAGAGCGACCACTTCTTTCTCAGCGGGATGATAGCCGATTTCATTCTCCTTGAGCACGCGTCCGCAGAAGCGAACTGGGTGCAGCTTGTCGTCGTGCGGCTGCATCATAGTACTGCTCAGTGCCCAGTCATTAGCGTACAACATTATGTGAATGTCTTTCGCCGAGTCGAAATGGCGAAGAATTGGAGCTTCTGCTACCCGTTTTTTGAGCTCGGCGAATGACGCTTTTGCTGACGTCAAGTCACCCCAGGACCAAAATCCGCGTCCTTTAGTTGGTAGAGTACTGCTCCGTAAACAGCCAAGTTCTGGATGAATCAGCCGTAATAGTTAAGTGCACCGAGGAAGGCTTGCATCCCTTTCTTTGATTTCGGGAAGGAGAGCTCGGCAATCGCAGCTATCTTCTTCGTATCAGCGCGTATGCCACTCGGCGTAATCTCGTGCGACTGGAAATCAACCTTAGGTTGGACAAATATACTCTTGGTAAAGGTGATGCTAATCCGACACTCAGTGAACCGGGCTAGTAGTCGGTCTAGTGTCTCCAAGCAGGCGTCAAACGTCTCCCCTCCGAAAGAAATATCATCGACAAACGACCTCCGCTTGAACACTGGGATCAAATGAGATTGGCCAGGTTCTCCATTAGCGAACATGTAACCGTCCGGTCCGTTGACTAGGTCTTGGACCGGATCGCAGTCAGTTTGTGATTGGTGGTCCGCTTCGAACTTCGTCAGCTGTCCTGGCGTTGAATCGCCGACTCCGCCGAGCTCGAATCGCCGAGCTTTCGACTCGGCTTCGGCGTTAGCCATTCGTTCAGCAAACAACTGCCATCCTCCCTTTGGTTGAACGTATCCCCATAGAGCGTTGTCGATGAGTCGTTGGTAAATCATATGCGTATTCTTCAATCCGAACGGCATTCATAACCACTCGAAGTGCCCAAGTGCACAGACGAACGCTGAGATCTGCCGAGCTCGGCGAGTCGTCAAGACTGCCCAGAATCCGCTAGCATCATCAAGCGAGCAAAACCACAAGTAACTCTCCAATTCGGTGAGCAGGTCATCCATCAGCTAGTGGCATGGCGTATTCGATCGGCGTCGTAATCGCGTTAGCTAGTTTATAGTCAATGTATATCCGCATATCCACTCCATTTTCTTGAGTACTATCACCACTGGTGAGGCCCAAGGGCTGTCCGAGAATGATATCAACCTAGCTCAAAGCAGCCCCTTCAACAACTCGTACAGCTTGCTCAAGTGGCGGAGGGGTACCCGCCGAGCTTTCTGCTTGATAGGTGCGTGTCCTTGAACGTCGATGTCGCACAATGCTCCGTACGCTGGAGGCGGCAGGGCATTACCAATTGAAATCATTATTCCTTCGTGCTTTTGCAGCTTTGCCACCAACCTAGCCGACTGTGCTGGCGTATGACTACTTGACGTAACGTTTGGAGCGCCATAGTCGAGGTCTGTAGGCTCAACTTCAGTGAGGTAGGGAAGGAAGGCCAGCTCATGAGCGTAGTCCGTCAACTCCAGATCTGTCCCACTTCGCTCAAAGATATCGGTCTTACTGTCGTCAACATCATCCTCTAGCTCGTCCTCAGTCGCTGCGATAGCCACGTAGTGTTGTCTTAGGGTTTTCATTGGGTCTCTTGTTGAGCTGCATTCATCATCTTCGGCCTGTTCTAAACTGTAGCCAATTTCGCCGGGGTCGAACACCGTCGTCGCTGAGCTCGTTACTCCGATCTCAGTTCCAGCACCTCTCAACAGTAATACCTCTGGTAAATCGTAGTTGTCGTCCACGTGAGGGCCCGTACCCGCTGAGTCCACTACGATGGCCGATCTGACTTCTGCGTGCTCAAACTTGCCTCCGAGGTAGATGGTATCATCGTCATGTCGTCTAACCACGTCCAAACCTTTTTCAGCATCCAGAGTCTCCAGCGCTGAGTTCGCCGTAGCTGGATCGTCGTTAGGCTTTATTCCCTCATGTAATAATACCTCTCGACTATCAGAGTCCTTTGTCGCGTCGGAGTGCTGATCCGCTGAGTTGGCTGCGACGGCAGAACTAACTTCCGTGCGTGCAAACGCGTCTCCGGGATAGCTGACATCTTAGCGGCATGCTGTGGCCATGTCCGAATCGCTCTCAGTGTTTAGGTCTGCTGACGCCGAGTCCGCCGTCGCCGCTGGATAATGCAGGCCTCTGGCGTACTCATCGCTGAGTTCACCTCGCCCACAATACTTGTTCTAATGACTCCAAACTTGGCTCGGTCGTCAATAACGGGTTGTTCGTC